CGTGGATCAAACACCTCCTGAACAAGCAGCAGCAAGCAGGGCCAGCGACTATATATCTGACACATGTGCAGTCTCAAATCTGAATCACTCACTAACTCTGAATCCATGTCAATGAGCACCGATCGATCATCGATCGATTCCTCACGCGCTGCCGCTGGTGTGGTGATGGATACGTACGCCAGCTGCAAGCCAGCCAGGAAACTCTAGCTAAGTAGCTATAACGATTGCCTGTACTGTAGAGCAAGAGGCACATGAAATTTTAGTTGGAAATTAACCAAGCATGGAGAATCAAGGTTTTCGCGCGAGGACTAGTGAACTTCATGCGAAGACGATGATGATGCATGCGCAAAATAATAAGAAACCCATGAGTTCCCAATTTCCATTGGGGGCTTAATTTGTTTGATACACTTGTATGTCATATCCATCCTAAATCCACATGTGTTAAAGCAAATTGGAGTGTAAATTAGTTAATTTTCTACTCCGACCTATTCTTAATACATTTGGTTTGAGGTGGATATATGCCCTGTTCGCTTGGCTGATAAGCCTTGGCTGAAAATACTGTTAGTTGATTTATTGTGAGAGAAAAATACTGTTCGTTGACTGAAAAAATACGGCTTATAAGCCAAACGAACAGGGCGACAGCAGGTGCAGCCAAATATGGCCTGAGCACGCGAATGGACTTGTTCTTTCCTGCTTTCATACTCTTTGTTTTTCGCGTTTTTGAATTAAATTGCCACCCAGAGCCCTACAACGGCTTATAATGCTCTAAAGCATGACTTCTCAACACGTGCACGATATAAGCAAACACAACAAACAAAGGCATATCATAATATAAGAGATTACTGATACTACAAAAAGAGTATGACTTTCTATCATGATTTTCTCGTGACAACTAAACGGTTCATCATTAGGGTGCGCGTCTGTTTCATGACATTTTGTAGGGGCACAATGCGTTATATAGGCGTCGAAAGGTATTTGCTTGTCACCAAGTCTAATTAGAAATCGTCATAAACTAGTCCAATACCATATTGCCATGAAGCTCATTTCGTCATTAGAGGACAATCGGCAAGCATCACAAATTCATGACAATCGTGCATAGTCATAAATGTTTTTGAGCATTTAAACAAAGAAATGTTTGTAAACAATCGTCCTGTTTTTCAGCACTACTTCAGCAGTACTTTTCAGTGAACAATGGCATACCAGACTAATTCTTCTTCAGCCGGAACTCATTTCCATTATCTAAAAAGATATCCAAGTTTTTTGAACTGGTAAAGTGCTGTGCAATTTGATTTTCCTAGAAACCAACGAAGCTTCTTTCTCTCACGTGTTTTCGTTCCCTCTATCTTCCCTTTGTTAGCAAAGTGTGAATGTGTGACCCACCTATTAGCATCGGTCCCACTACCACGTGTTAAGTGGGCCCTACACCACTACACGCCAACTTGTTTCACTATATGCAAATATTCTGAGTGTTCAAACTATTGCAATAGATTAAAAAAATGTATCTTATATTTCTCAATTGGATAAAGTGTTAAGAAATTTGATTTTTCCTAAAATGAAAACAAACCTTCTTTCCTCACATGTGCTTTTTTCTCTTTCTTCTTTTCAGTACAGACCAGCCTGGCAGCCTCAATTCATTTATAGCCTTGGCTTATATTGTTTTTAACCCAACTTCGTCTTTTCTGAGGGGACTTGGCCTCCAAGAGATTAGCCAAAAAAAGATTCTAAATATGTTAGTTTAGCCATTTTCTAAAATAGATTTTACCAAAAAAACCGGGTCACTCCAAAAGACTGTATTCGCCTGGCTATGTATCCGGCACCTAGCTCATGGCCTTCGTTAGTCTGCGCGGGAAGGCCTCAGCGTACGGGAATCAGCCGGGGAGGAGGCGGATGGCGAGCCGTGCCCACAGGCTATTTTAAGCGACTGAAAAAAACTGGAATAGATGACTTGGTATTTTAGATTGTCGGATAGAATAGCTGTTGGAGCATTGTTTCTTTAGAAAAAACTCTAAAATGGAATCGGCTCTGTTTGTTTCGCGGGAATTTGGCTTATACAGATGCTTATGCTGATTTATTATGAGAAAAAAAATATTATTCATTCGCTGAAAAGTAGTGCTGAAATAATTGAAGTGAGTCAAATAGCCACCCGTTGGAGTTGCTCTTAGCAGCCTGCAGCGGCTCCCAAACCAAAAGTCAGCCCAACGTCTTTATTTTTGAAGTGGGCTATGGCCCGTTGGAAGCCCGGACTAAAGTTGGGGCTCAAAAACAGGAAAAAAATTTCTCTACTGGGCCACCCAGGGCCCTACCACCAAGGAAGTAGCGCTCATACCACTACTAGGATTGCAATGTGGTGTTGCTTTTTTTTTGCAACTTAACTTCATTATATATACGTGTATTGAATTTCTGTCAACAACCAAATCTAAAGCTTAGCCCAAACAACCAAATAATTAACATCATCTTTCATGCATGAACAATTATATAATCTTGATTTTGCATTTTATTATTGATAAAAAAATAATTGAATTACAAATTATATGCAACAATTTACCTTTTTAAGAATCTAAAACGTAACAATGCCTATTTATAAGATCTAGCTAGCAATTGTACTCCATGCGCTGTAAAAATATACTGAAATTACAAACAAATTGGATGCTTCAATCCAACGGTGTTTGCAAGATTAGCATATGCAAACCGATGCTTCATTCCAATTCCACAACTGTCATATACTCTGTTTCTCCTTCAAATTGGATCAAAGGTTTTTGTGTCCCCTTCTTGAAGGCTTATACGTCTCCTGTGATTGCAAGACAAGCACATGGAACAAGCAAAAGCAATCTATTAGTCCTAAAAATTATGATGTTAATCGAAAAATAAGAAAAGAATATGCATCGTTGGATTTTATGGTGATCTGACGGTATAGATTAGACTAAGGAGTCCATGTCAAATACAAAACCATGCTCGAGATCTCAAGAAAGCCAAATGTCACAATCCAATGGTAATACGAAAAGAGTCCTACTATTAAATGAAGAATTTCTTCGGCCAATCCTAAAAATATTTGTGTTGTCATCTAGATCTCACCAAAACTAAAAACTATGATCATGGGCACATGATCCTTTTCAACTCAGTTGCATGACCTTACAAAACACACAGTCAGACATACTTGCTTGTGTTCATCGGTCGCCGAAACCAAAGCATTTTAGGACCAAATCAAGTGGTATTACTTTCAGTATTGTAAACTAGCCACTAGAAATAGTGCGCGACAAGGATAATGAAAAGGGGAAGGGCAAAATGACTCCATGTGCATCCTTAATTTGGTTGTAATATAATATCGAGGGCTTCGGTCCAAGACAACACTATACATGGTTGCTAGCACGACAGAAGAAGAATGTCATTATTCCCGTGGCGCTGCGCAAACTCTGGAAGCATTTCCCTAGGAGCTCATTATTTGTATTTTTAAAATTCAAAGGGTTTAATTTCAAGCTAGAGAAAGACAAGTCTGTCAGAGTCTTGCAATCAATCATGCATGCGCTACCATATAATGCATGGTTAAATCAGAAATGCTCAGAGCAATAAAATGCAATTAACTGCAAAGCAAAAACAAAAGCCGCGGCAGGCAACACAAAGATTGGCCCCTAGCTAGAGATTGGGTGAAAAACTGAATTATCACAGGAGGCCGACATAGATCACGGGTTGGATTGGGAAGGAGGAGCAGATCGTCCTCGATAGCATGCAGTGACACCATCATGTGACCCCAAGGGCCAAGATAGAGGCAGAATCATAGAAGCAACGAGTGACACGTACATGAATGCTTGGCACACATGTGACACTACATGACACCATGCATCCATGACCGTCAGTCGTTAGACCATGCATGCAAGGTCATGCACGGGGCCATGCTATTGCCATGCCACCCTATTTCTATTTCGGCTTCTCAATGAGCCAATCCATTTCAAATTTGATCAGACATATACAAAAAGGTATTAATATTTATGATGTGTAACATGAAATATATTTTCATAGTAAATCTATTTTGGAGATATAAATGTTGGTATTATTTTCTACAAACCTAGTTAGACGAACTAGGGTCAATTATATATAGCAACGTACGAGAGCCACACGTACTAGAATTGGAATGCATGCTTGGGATACACGTGACGCTACATGACAACCTGAATCCATGGCCATAAGTTAAACCACGTATGCATTGCATGCAAGGTGCATATGATGCTGCCGTGGCCCCATGGCATTGCCTTTCCACCGTATTTCTATTTATAGAGGAAACATATATACGATGGAATCCACATCTTTGATGAAAATATACAAATTTGTTCGAAAAACGCGCTTAACTAAAAAAAATATTAGAAACCTGGCACATATGTAGTATATCCATATATGTGCTCAAATACAAAAGTTTGGGATGCAAACTTATTTTCAAAAAATTCATACGAAAGTTCCACTTGTATGAGCACTCAATCAAAGACATAATTTTTGGATTTTAATTTGTCTTCTCTATTATACTTGCACTAGTTTTTGTCATTTTCTATATGTTTCGCAATAATGATTTCGCAACCGAAGGCTTTTTCGTGTTACTAGTACATATAGTATATATGGATGAACTATAGACATGCAACTATAGACAGCGAATCTTGCGCACCAATCCAAAGCTTGTGCAACCTTCATCATATACATGGTTTTGCTTTTTCTTCATGCAGTGCAGGGAAATGCGTCCATGCATGCCAGTCAGAGATCCATCGGCACCTCCGATCGTCCATTATTCAGCAAGAAACGCAGCATCAGAGATCAGCTCTTTGTTGTTTTGCTTTCTCTTTTCATTGACGAACTCCATCATCAATTCATCATTTCATATGTGATCACTTCAGTTTCACGTTCAGCTGCGCTGGAACTGAACTCAAAAAAAAAAAAAGGAACAGGAAAGCTGGGCGCTGGAACACAGAAATGTTGGAACTCAAAAAATGTCGGCAAGTTGTGTTTGAACTGAATCCATCTCAAGCCTGGTGCACATGCCGCTGAACAAAAGCAGCTATACTTCTGCTGTAGACCTGAAGTTGCTGTTGCTGTTGAACAAAAACAGCAGCTACTAATTTTAACCACAAGACATTCAGTTCTAAATTTTAACAAAATCACCCAAGAAGTTCAGATCAGGATTACCAATCTCTCTTCCTCTTCATGACTCCAATATCTTTTCTTTACTGGCCTATTTGCCTCATTGTTGTCATCTTCATCAATGTCAATGTTCACCATCTCGTTTGTTGAAGTGCCTTCCTTCACAGCTTGCGATGTTGCTGTTCCATAGGCACTTGGTGGTGTGGTGGTGGTGGTGGAGTTATTGGGTTGAAGCTCATAGTCTGACCAACCAAATGAATTTTTTCTCCTCGCCGTTGTGGCTGTGACGGATAGTGTAGTCGTTGAAGAAAATTTAGAAAACCACCTGGTGAATAGACCCTGAAATTTTCACACATGAGCTAACACAATTGCAGAGATCCATCAGCTAAAAATTGCAGTTCAAGCACAGACCGAAATCAACTACATGTAATCAGAAGACGATAGACAACTGAACCAGATAGACAAGTGCACATTCTCACTGTATAATTCTCAGTGCAGATAACTAAGATAGATATAACCCTACAGATAGATAACTGAACTAGATAACTAAGATAACCCTGAAGATAGATAACTAAACCAGATAACCATGCTTTTCTGATAGAAATTTATATGCAGGCGCAGCATATCCAAATTCATACTACAGAAAATGCATACTAAGGCAGAGAATGCATACTACAGAAAATGGATGAATCTCTTGCCTACATCTCGTTGGTATTTTCAGGTTGTAAAATAAAGATCAAACCACCAACAAGACTCGGATCTGGAATTTGTGCGTACTCACCATGGATCTTGGGGGAAGTTTGGTCTGGGTCCCCATCCTGCTACTTGAGGTGGCCGTGGTGCCATAGGATGCGGTGGCGGCGCTGGGAAGGAAGTCGGCGGCGGCGGAACCGATGGCGACACTGGTGACGAAGCTGGAGGTGGGGACAGCGCACGCGAGGACGCTGTCTTGAGTCCCAGCCGGCTGCCCTGCGCCCTTTCCCTCCTTTGCCGGATGCGCGTCGCCCGGAGCCCACAACCGGCGCTGGATCCATGGCGGGAGATGAAGAAGAATGGCGCTCCGCCCCAGCTGCTCGGCTCTGGATCTCCGCCATCTCGCAGCAAGAAGAAGAATGGCGGGAGGATTGGGGCGGAGGTGTGGGAAGGATGGCGCAAGGGGGCGTGATGGATTAGGACGGAGGCGCGCGCACGGGATCGACCGCAATGAAATCTTTCCCCTCAACGCGGGTGTCGTCCGGTTTCCAACGAGGCCTCGTTTAGTTGCGCCGATTCGGCGCCGACAGTGGTGCTACAGTGGCATTTTGTTTTTATTCGGTAATAATTGTCCGATCATTGACTAATTAGACTCAAAATGTTCGTCTCGCAAAGTACAACCAAACTGTGCAATTAATTTTTGATTTCGTCAACATTTCGTACTTCATGCATGTACCACAAGTTTGATGTGACGGAGAATCTTCTTTTTGCATAGTGCCAAAGTTTAGAATTGAGGGAACTAAACACCCCCTGAGTTGGAAACGGTGCACGCTCGTTTCGTCCCACGAATCGTTTCCTTTATCTCTCTTCCTCGAAACAATGCAAAGATCCTATTTAGGGGTCCTTTGGTTGGGCTTTGGCTTCGGCTTATTTGCCGGCTTATGCCGAAGTCCTACCAAACGTTAAAAATCAAAATGGCTTCTTCCCAGAAGACGGTAAAAGCCTCTAGTGTTTTTGCACTAGGATGAGATAGCCGAAAAAAGTGGCTTCCCCTGGCTTCTCTTCCTCCCTTGCGCCAAGACAAATGGAACTATCCTTCAACTTGGCTGGAATTGCAACGAAATTGCCACTCCTACCTCTATGGTGGCGGCGTGAAGCTCACCGGTGATGAGAGGTCGCAGCTGCCCCGCGCGAATGGTAGCAGGTGCACGCGTGCAGCCGCAGCTGGATGGCGCGGACCGACAGCAGGGTGGAGCAGCGGCAGCGCGGTGCTGGGCAGATCAATGACGGCGTGACCCCGCGGGGCGCACTAGCGGCAGAGCAGCTCAGTGGCAGGTCGAATCGGCGGTGTAGCCTAGCACGAGAGACAAGAGAGAGAAGACGAGAGAGCGAGATTGGGAGAGCAGACGGTGGACTCCGGATAAGAGGATAAGGATGTACGGAAAGAAAGGGAAATAGGAAAGGAGGAAAGAAAAAAATAGAAAAGAAAAATAAAAGGATAAAAATAAATAGAAAGAAAAGAGAAAAAAAAAGAAAGAAGGAAAAATCATAAGGGTATTATCTTTTTATTTCACACAAATCACATTATCAATAAAGCCACACATAAAACTCATATGTGCAAGCAACGTACATGTGCAAGGGCAAAATGGATATTTGACATCTTCTATACATTCTAAAAAGCCAGGAGAAGCCATTTTGTCAAACGTTTTCCTACCAAATAAGCCAGACAAAAAAAACTACTTTTTTAGATGAGCTAGAGCCAGTGCTGTTTTTTCACGAGCCAAAACTATGCTAAACAGGTCCTTAATTTGTATGAAACCCAAACCGGTGGACGCGTGCAGCCTAGCAAGTTTTGTTTGCATCCGTAGGCTGCCTCCGGGGACGTGTGCCTGTCCGTGCTCGGGGAGACGGCTCGAGCGCAATCCTCGGCTTCATTTTTTCTGCTGGCACCGGAGATTGGGGGAATTGAAGGGCCTGTTCTAAATTTGTTTTAGCGAACCATTCGGTAAAACAGCTGTCTTCGTTGTTGGGAAAAGTGAAATACCTATAATACCTCTACCTTTTTTTCTCTTTTCTTTTTTTCCCTCATTTTTCCTTCCCTTATCCGCTCAGGTGCTCACGCATCCCTGCTATCCGCACCGCCGCACGAACCACGCCCACAGCGCCCTTCGCCTCCGCGACCCGCACCCAGCCCCTCACCGGCAAGTCCGCCTCGGCAAACTCGGCGCGACGGCGACCCGCCCCAGCCTCGCACGTGACGGTGAGTCCGCTCGGCCACCTGGGCCTCGGCGCGACGGCAATCCGTCCTCCTCGCGCGCGGCAGCGAACCACCTCGCCCTCGCGCGTGACGCCGAATCCGTCCCGGCCACCTCCACCTCGGCGCGACGGCGACTCGGCCCGGCATCGCGCGAGACGGCGACCCGGCCTCGGTCGCCCGCCCCGCCCTCGCCCTTGTCCTCGGCGATGCGGCCCCGGCCACTCCTGTGCAGGCTCCGCTCTGGCGTCGGCAAGGGCAAATCTACCCATGGCCCCGTTGGGACCACCTGTGTCAGAAGAAGCGGGCGCAAGCTACATTTTTTAGCTTCAACTCTCTCCCCTCTTATCTCAGCGCGTTCTTCGGAGCTTCTCTCGTGAAGCGGAGCTGCTGGAGACCGTTTGGCTGGGACGGAGATGAAGCGACGCGTGAAGCGCTACCAAACAGCCCCGAAGAAAGAACACAGCAGCGCAGCGCAAGAATTAACAGCCTGTTCGAGAGGCTGTTTCGTATCGTGGATTATTTACTGCTAACTGGCTGGTTTGGTGTGAGAAGAAAACACGGTTCTCGGCTGAAAATTTACGATCGTTTACGAGCAAACGAACAGGAATGGACAGGGAAAGCGTGGCGCGGGACAGTAGCAGCAGCGACAGTAGGTAGGGCTGGGGCTCTGTACCGTTCGAATAGTTACTCCCTGACGTTCCAAGTAGTTTAAGTTTAATTAAGTTTATAAAAAATAATATTAATATTTATATTAAAAATTATTAAAATATAATCTATAACTAATTTAATGTTACTTATTTCGTATCATAAATATTAGTATTTTTATATAAATTTTATCAAAGTTCAACCCTTTTAACTTCTTGAAAATCAAGAATTACGTTCTTTTGGATGGTAGTAACACTCATAACCTCACAGGTCAATTCGATTCACCCTCTGCAAAGTTGTGGATCTTGAGGGCATAGAGGTGAGAGGTAGCACGAGAACCGACGCTGCCCCATCCCCACCCTAGGTCTTGTTTAGTTCATCAAAACTCTCAACTTTAACACTATGTAAAAAGAAGATTCTCCATCACATCAAATTTACGGTACATGCATGGAGTACTAAATGTTGACGAAATCAAAAACTAATTGCACAGTTTGGTTGTACTTTGCGAGACGAATGTTTTGAGCCTAATTAGTCAACGATTGGACAATTATTACCAAATAAAAACAAAATGTACAGTGTAGCTACAGTGCCGGCAAATTCAGCCGGCGCCGAATCTGGCCGGAACTAAACGCGGCCCTAGATTAGAACACGAGTAGACTATTGAATCGTGAAGCACAAGCTACACGTTTGTTTTTGAAAATTTGGTGTTTCTACCTCTATTACAGACTTCAAAGATGATTTTACCCTTATTTTTTTTAATTTTATAGTTTTGCCCTCGTCCTTTTGAATCGAATCAACCGTTTACTCCTACTCACTGTGTAGGCTGAATGGATTAAATGGAGAAAAAAAAGAGAAAAAACCCCAACATGAAAAGACAACAATAGCCCTCAGTTCTTTTCCTCCCACACCGCCACACGCGTGCCTCTCCGCTTGCGCAGCGTGTGCGTGTCTCGGCCTCTCGGGCGGTACTCGCGCGGCGGCACCTAGGGTTCCCGCCGGCGGTGTCTGCAGGCGGTGCGCCTCCTGGAGGTCGGTCCCGGCGCCTCCCTCCTTCCCCGCCCCCTCCCACCCTCCTTGCGACCTCACCACCCAGGCGGCAGGGGCGCTGCGCGGGCAAGTCCGGTCCCAGCCCGGGCTGGCGGCGGCCGGCGGTTAGGCCCCGCCGCTACGTCCCCCGGCTGGTGGTGCCGGCGACCCTCCCCGGCCAGCGGCGTCCCCACCCCCGCCCCTGCCTCCCCCAGCGGACGGCGGCGGGGTCCTCCTGCAGGTTCCGGTGCCCCAGATGGTTCTCGCCGGGTAGGGATGGCGGTTGCGGCGGGCACGATGAAGAGGAGGAGGCGTGGTCCGACCTGTCAGGGAGCCGGTCGCGTTCGGCATCTCCCCCGCGTCCAACCTATCGGCGCTGTTCGTGAGCGCCGGGCGAGGAGGCAAGGAGCGGTGCGCGGTCGTGTTGGCCCCAAAGTTCAAAATAGCGGGCTTTAGCGGCCACTATAGCGCTATTTAGCGGTTCAGAAGGCCCGACGCTAAGCTATGACAGTTTTGGCGCTAGATTAATTTTTCCGCTATTAGCGGTTAATAGCGCGCTATCTCCACTAAATCGCAGTTCATTTAGCGCCGCTATTCTGCGTGGGCTTCCAGTTTCGTCGGCCCAAATCACGCGCAGGCCCAAATCGCTGGGATATCTATCGATGGGAAGCAGTCACACGCATAACACTAGCCATTCGACACCGTTCCTCACGAGCTCGTGTAAGTGCTGGCGGCGGCGCCGCCGGATGCTGTTGCTGCTGTGACCGGCAAGCGGCGAGGGTGCAATACCGGCGAGGGGAGTTGGAAGTGCGGCGGCGGCGAGCTACGGCAAGCGGGCAGCAGCAAGCGACGAGCTCGCAGGAGTGCAAGCGGCAGCGCCTGCTGCTGTTGCTGCGACGGCGATGTCCCAATCCCAGCCAGAAGGCAAGATTATTCAAACTCTTTTCATTTTTCCTCTGTTCTTTACGTATTGGGCTGCTGGATGTGAATGGTAGTGAGTAGTGAGTGACGTAGTGCTGCATCTCATTCTCATGGTGAATTGAATAACTGATTGGCTTAGGATTTTTGTACTACTGCATTCAGCTTGCTAGTACCGTTGATTGGTTTACTCTTTGCTGTAAATAAATTGGCATTTATCCCATGAAGAAAGTGTAGTATCAGATCTGTTCTAGGCTGGTGCATTAAGCGTGCTACTGCTGTTGTTGATAGGATATTAAGTTTACTTTTTACTGTAAATACATTGGCTTAGGATTTTCTGTACTGCTGCTGTTGATTGGTTTACAGTTTACTGTAAATAAATTGGCATATATCCCATCAAGCAAGTAGAGCATCAGATCTGTTCTAGGTTGCTGCAGTAAGTTTGACCTCAGCAAATATAAGGAACAGCGAGGGTCATTTGGACATGACATTGCCACAAGGCAGATGACATGAACTATATGTCCCTAGTTACTTGGTAATTGGTATTTGTAATGTCTTCATCTTCTATGTTTATTATGTGTAAAATTACCTGATATTTGACATTTTTTTGCTCAGTCGCTAAATAGCTTAGCCCGCTATAGCCTTTCTTAGCTTTTGGGAGAGGCAGCCGCTAAGGGGCTTAGCCCGCTATTTAAAACTTTGGTTGGCCTGCGTGGACCGAGCTGCTGCCTGCTGGAGCCGGCCGTGAAGCCACCGGCGCTGAGGGGGTGAAGCCGTGCGTTCCCGCCGCCGCCACGTTCTTCGTGGTTGCTGGAGAAGAAGCGTCGTGTTGCCCGACGGAGCAGTGCAATCATTGGAGCGAGAGCTTCGAGGATCCTGCATGGCCGAGCCGAGCGCTGAAGGCATGTCGCGCCTCCTCGCAGACATCGACACTTAGGGCTACTTCATCTTCTTGCCGAATCGAAACGCTGCGACCGAGCGACCGAAATAACACGCGTGATCATGTCGGCCCGGCACCGCCCTTTTTTGGCCTTACCCGGCTAAACGCCGCCACTGACCCGACGGCTAAGCGGACCCGGCCGGTGGCCTTACCGGAGAGGTGCCGTGCTGGCCTTTTCTTAGGCATGGCCAAGACGGCCCTGCTCACATAGAGAGCATCCGGCCGGGCTGGCCTGGCCACCACCATGGCCCATGCAGCCCTCCCCACGCCCCAACCATATCCCTTCCTCCCCGGCCCCCACACACCCCCCCCCACGCCTGAACCCTATCCTTCACACAGACTCGCTCCTCATCCTCCTCACCGAGATCCGGAGCTCCGCTCTCTCTCCCTCTGGCCCTCCCACCACTCTCTGCCGGCGCAACAACGGCGCCCCTCTCTCCTCATCCTCCTCGCGCGGCCCCTGAAGCGGCGCTCCGCGGTGGACCTCGCGTGGCCCCCCGCGGCGGAGCTCGCGCGGCCCCTGCAGCGGCGCTCTCGCGAGGAGGCGGTGGGATCCGGCGCTCCCCTGCAAGCGGCCGACAAGATCCGGCCTGAGGAGGTGGTGGCACGGAGCAGGGCGGCTCTTCTCTGGTGTGGACGTCTCCGGGCAGGGGCGGCGCGGATCCAGCGTGGGACGGCGCGGATCGCCTCCTCCGTGGCGGATCCACTCCCCGCGTCCTCCCTCCCTCCCTTCTTCGGCGGATCCGGCACCGTTGCAACGGATCCGGTGAGCGGCGACGACGGATGTGGGATTCCGGCAAGCTGCGGCGGTGCACGCGCGATGGGCTTGGCGGGCTCATCGATGGACCCTCTACACCTCTCGGGCTCCCTTTCGGGCTTCCCCCCTCTCTCTGTCGGCCTCCTCCACCGCTCCACGCCTCCTGCTCCTGCGGATCCGTGTCGAGCTCCTCGATGGCGAGTGCGCTGGCCTCCTCCGTATCCGGCGTTGATCTCCTCGACGGCGAGCGGCGTCGACCCCCTTCCCCTGTCTCTCTGTTGGCAGCCAGTGGGCCTCGGGCCGGCACGGCCTGCGAAATTGGCCGTGCTTCTTGGGCTGGCCTGGCACGAAAATCGGCCCATAGTGCCGTGCCTGGGCCGGAGGCCAGGCCCGTGGCCCTGTGACGCACGGCCCGAGAGGCACGGCGTGCCGTGCCGGCCCGTTGGCTATCGGGCCGTGCTTTCACGGGCCCGTGCCGTGCCGGCCCTGCCCGTTGGCCATCTATACACGTGATGTCATCTGGCTGTTTTTTCACAGAAAAATAAATGCAGAATACACCAGAAATGCTAGCATACCTGTGGACGTGAGCCACTCATTTTCTGATATGCGGCAAGATTAAAATGGCCCCTACCCTTTTACCGTGCACCAGGTTCATGATGCACCATAGACACATCCTCCTCTGGTCTACGAGCTATGAACACATTCCTCCTATGGTCTACAAGCAATGAACCCCTAATCTGAAATAGGTGTAAAAACACAAATATCAAAACAAAATAGGGGTAAAAACGTATGAGCAAAATTGTCCTTTTGTGCAAAAGTTAACACCGTTAGGTAGACTTCACAGAATAGGGGTAAAGTCTC